GAGGTGGAGTCCAAGGAGCAGGGGGAGGGAGATAAACCCTGCCAGGTCACACCCTAGTGACCAGACTCTGACCAGCCCCAACCTAATTAGATAATTAGATAAATACTCTAATAAGTACAGCACTGCGTGATCCACACAGCATTCAACAGCCCTGTCTCCGTGTTCATGAGTATTTGGGGAGACACTTTAGATCTAAACCATCACAGGAGGTATCATATTAAAAATGCTGGAAACAGTAATAGAATTCTAGCATGCCAGCATGGTACCAGAGAGTGTCTCAATGTACCAATGTATTCTATTTTGAAAATAATATATCTATTATTCAGGATAATAAGAATTCTTTGCAAATTCATGACATACTTGCTCAGTGATGCATAAACACCAGCCTTTTATTTTTTTAACCCAAAGCCTGGTCGTTATAAAATGCATGCGTTCATGCATGCAGATTTTTTTCCAATTAAAACCTTCTCCAACCTAAATGAAATTAAGTTTTACCTGGGAAAAACACGGAGACATCATTAAAAGCAATGAAATGCTGGTAGAAGTTGTAAGGATTAAGACGATCAGTGTGCTGAAGATAGAGAGAAATTTTGGAAAAGTAGATTGCAATTTCAACATTCTTGCTTCTAGGAGGCAGGCAAGGGGCTGCCGAAAGAAGTAAAACCAACCAAATTTTATATCTACCCCTAAGTTTAGTGAATTATATTTGAATGGATAGGGGCTCAATAGATGAGAGAGAAGGGGCTAGGGTAGGGATACAAAACTTGGTAAGTTTTATTGTATACATGCACCAACTCTCTATAAAGAATCTGACCATCCATGTTGCAAAGACGAGTAATAAAAAATAAAAACTTTAAAAAGTGCAATCCGGAAAATGATGTAACATCAAAATATCGAGTTTAACATGAAACAAATTTTATCATTGAGATATTTGACAAGGGGAGGGGGATTTAGCTCAGTGGCAAAGCGCCTGCCTGGCAAGCTCAAGGTCGTGAGTTCGGTTCCCGGTACCGGAGAAAGACCAAAAAAAAAAAAAAAAAAGGAGATATTTGACAAATTCTGAAATTGCAGAGGTCTGTATCCTAAGAGGAGCCTGGACTATTTCAAAGGAGATTTTGCCCATATCAAACTGATGAATAAATAAACCAGACAGTTCAGAATTTGCTAAGAGCCACTCTCAATTGAAAAAAATATCTCTTAGAGGGTGGGCCTAGAGTTAGACAGATCCTGGCCAAGAACCTTATTCCATGTTAGTCTTTGCTTGAATTATGGCAGTCAGTCTACCTCTTTCTTTCCCCCTTCTTTTCTTTCTTTCCCCTTTCTTTCTTTTCCTGCTTTCTTCCTCATTCTTTTTTCTTCTTTCCTTCTTTCTTTTTGTAGATGAATCTGTAATTGTGTATTGCATTGCCAAAAACTTCTGAGCACAAGTGTTCATTCAACTAATTCTCCAGAGTAACAGAATGACAAGCGAAGAGCACCACACCCAGCCCAGACAACCATACCTGTTCCAACAGCCTAGGTGCAACCAAAACAATAACCAATGTGAGATCCATTGTACTTTTAGATCCTCTATAATGTTAATAAAAAGTATCAACAGAAAATTTGTGGAAGTATGGAAAAGAGGTAACAGACAATAAAATCTAACTAAAATGAATAACATACAGGAATTTGCAAGTGAAAAATATTAAAACATGTAATTCATAAATAAAAGATAATTATGTCCATTTTCCTATAAAAGCCTTGAGATTATCTTTCTTTATAGCTGAGTAATATTCCATTATGTAAAAATACCACAACTTTTTCATCCATTCCTCAGTTGACAGACACAACTAGAGACCATAATCATAAATGAAATAAATCAGACACGCATGTTTAAACACCGTATTGTGTCACTAGTGTAAGAACCTCAAAGACTGAATAAAATCTAGGAGGTACAACAAACATTGTGAAAGGAAAACAAACTGCTCAAAAGGAAAGAACTGGGATGAGGGAAAAGAGAAAAGAAAGAAGGGGAAAATGTATACATATATATATACAGGATAGCTAACATAGTTGTACTACTGGTCTTTATTGCTCTATTGAAAGGAACAGTTAATGTTTAAGTGTATGATCAGTCTTACATGACTATATTTGTTTATCCAAGTATCCAATCTGAAGATATCAGTATTAATACAACAATGTTAACTTCCTATCACCTTGTCTGAAATTCTGTATTTCATGTATTGATTTGTGTTATTTTCTAAATGTATGTGTTTAAGATGTTTTTGTCCTTTTATCTTTAAAATAAAAAAGATAATTAAAAGATATTTGAAACATAAAACTGAATTCATTATAAATTAAACTTAAATTCTAGTCCTCAAAAAAGTGAGTAATATAGTTAGCAATTCAATAAATCCAGACAAATGCACATTTCCTAAGAACCACAGAAATCTATATGGTGAAATCCAGTAACATTTTGGGTGGACTATCATTGGAATAAAAAATTTTGACCACATAGAATGCTGTGTAAGACTATGAAAGAAGCAATAAATGATAAAAACTAAAATATAAACAACATATTAGAATTTGCAGTATTAAAATAGATTAAGAAACACAACTAAAGGAAATTTACTATATACATACATATTAAGCTGGAAAAATTCATCATAAAATCAAATGTAAATTTTAGTTCTTAAAAATGTAATATAATTAAGAATCCAATAAATAAGTATATTACAAATCTGAAGCATACGTTAGTATAGTCAACTAAAGCCTAAAAACAAAAGTGGAATGCAATATACTAAGTAGTGTATAAAGCACAGGAAGATATCATGAAATGGAAAATTGTACACTATTTAGAATTCAGTGAAAGGCTCTTCACTGCCAAGGGGAAGAATGCCAACTACAAAAATAATGATGACAACAAAAAGAATGGAAAGGGGAATTAGCACGGGATGGAGTGAGCTCAGTGGGGAGGAGTAAAGGGTTAAACAGAATCAAGTTGCTTTGTCCATGCAGATACTCCTCAGATGAATGCAAACTTTAGGTACTGCAAATATGTACTAATAAAATAAAATTTTAAAAAGAAAATAGAAAGAAAAAATAAAATCACATGTAGGCATACCATTCATTAACTAAAAATTAAATGTAAAACTAAAATCTTAATTTTAGTAAAATAATTATGTTACCTACTAAGAGATGAAGCTGACCGTGAAACTCCTCTATAGAAACAGAGCTGGAAGACAAAGTAGTCATAACTTAAGAACAATTATGCACAGGCAGTAATCTAGGATTTCTCATGCTCAAAAGTAAAAAGCAAAGCATGAAATATCAAATATGGTCTTAATGCTGAAGAAAATTAAGTTATGACAAATAGTAGAAAATGTATTTTTCCAATTGTTCAAAATTAGAAATGATTTGTTTATTATGAAGAAGACAATTGAGACACATGTACCTTAAAAAGTAATGAATTAAATTGGAAAAGAATGTTACTCATATACTTATAACAATTATAATTCCTTCTGAGTTTTTCATAAACAGAAAATGAGATACAGGGAACTCATAGGATGCATGAGACACATGATGCTCATGAGATACATAGAGCTCATGAGATACATGAGCTCATGTAAAACAATATGCACAGAACACATAGCTCTAGGGTACTAACCTCACTAGGAGAGAAGAAATATTAAAATATATTGCAACAGACTGTATAAGCCAACAAACCTGTGAAAGTCAGAAAATACAAAAGTTGAGTGGGCAGTGGAACAACTGAGGTAAAAAGATAACTTTTGGAAAAGTGATGTCTGCACAAGCAAGGTAAGTGTACTTACACATCAGTTTGAGGAATGTAGACAGTATTTTATAAGAATAAAAAGCCAATGTATTGGAATTTGGAGGCTTTTCTGTTAGTATCTCAACACTAAATTCTCTGTTGTGGTGTCAAAGTACCCCTAGACCATGTGGAAATGAATGGATGTTAATGTTTCTCTATGAAATATTATGCCCCCAAACCATAAGAGTTTGTATAATGCTAAATTAGAGTATTAAACAGCAGGGATTATTCTTTCCTTTCTCACCATTAGTACAGTAGTATATGATCCTTCCCCTTCATGTATGGTTACAATTATCACTTGTTCTAAGCTTACTGTGGACAGGTGGATATCTGTGCTGTAGCCTATTCAAAGGTAAACACTGATTTTTAGTACAGAAGTATGAAAAAAAATAAGTCAGATTTGTGGATGGAGCACCTAACTGAACTGTGGAGTTTTCCGATTATATATACAATATATTTATATGGAGTGACACAGACAAGCACAGAGTATTTGGAATTACTACCCATTAAGTGCTTACTTATTTTTTTGTAAGTTTGCAATCATTTATTCAAGGAATAATTTCATATTAAACTTCAACGGCAAACACATACGATATTATCTACCTCAAAATTAGCAACAACAGCCCATCTGAGTAAGAATGAAGAATTTTCCAGGGATAAGAGTTTCAGAAAGTGTAGGGAGTAAAGAAAGAAGGATGGAAGGCTTGGATGGAGGAAAGGGAATGGGTGAAGAGGCAAAGGAAATATAGAAGTATGGAAAGAAGGAAGAAAGGAAGGAAGGAAGGAAGAAAGGGAGGGAGGGAGGGAGGAAGGGAGGAAGGAAGGAAGGAAAAACTAGTACCTGTGGAGGATTGGAAAGAAACAAAAATAAAATGTGCTATTTTCATGCTTTGTGTCATAACTTGTAATCATATCACATGTCCAGTTTCTTTTTTAAGGGCTATAATTGGATGGTGGATTTCTGACATAGGAGCAAAATGATTTCAGTAATGAGGACCTTGTTTTCACAGTTAGTAACGACCTTTATGACGTTGTCTGAAGCTCATTGGTCAGATGATAGGATGGTGAACTGCCTGTGCTTCCCCCGCCCACCACCAAGGAGGTATAAGAGGCCCCTGCAGACAGTGACATCCAGACCAAGACACCAACTTCCAGATCCTCAACTGCACGATCCACTCCTGACACCATGTGCTACTTTGGCAGCTACTTTGGTGGCCTAGGCTGTGGCTATGGCTGTGGCTATGGCTATGGTGGCTATGGTGGCTATGGAGGCTATGGTGGCTATGGAGGCTATGGTGGCTATGGTGGCTATGGTGGCTATGGTGGCTATGGTTATGGCTGCTACCGCCCCCTGTGCTGTAGAAGATACTGGTCCTATGGCTTCTACTGAGGAATTCCCACAGCTTCTTAGCCTATTGTCTACAACCTGCTGATTTACAGCAACAGTCTCCAACTTTCTTTACATGACAAATTTTTAATATCTTCAAAAGATCAACAACAAACTACAATACATGAAAAAAATATGCAGCATGCCTTTTTAATTCATCAGTATCTACTAAATAATGTGATAGGTTTTAGAAAAGTTTCATTATTATTCTTTTTTTTTGTTTGTTTGTTTGTTTTTTTCCGGTACCGGGAACCGAACTCACGACCTTGCGCTTGCCAAGCAGGCGCTTTGCCGCTGAGCTAAATCCCCAGCCCCCTCATTATTATTCTTATAATGCTATATAAAATATAATCATATTAGACCCTCAAGTTTTGTATAAACACATATATTATTAAATAAATTATCTCATCATAATTGTTGCTATTATTGGCTACTATATTATGAGTTTTGCTTATATGTTTTTGTGTGATTCCTCACTAGTGTGTATTTGTTATATTGTGGAAGAGAAAGATGTTAAGAGAGAAAGAGAAAAGAAGGTAGCGGAGGGTGGGGGAAGTTGAAGGAAGGGAGAAAGAGCAGTGGCTGAACTATATTAGTTAACATTTGAAAAATGCTTCTTGTTTTAAAAAGTATTCTGCCTAGAGAACAATTATTGGTGATGTCTTAGACACTTATCTTTTAGCTTTGACCTCATACTGACAACATAATAGAGGAGAGGTGTATGTTGGGGTACAGTTGACTGGCTCACAGGCAAAAATATCATGGTGATAAGCCTGGGTAGAGTGTTGCCTGTTGAAGTCATGCACCCAAGAAGCAGATAAGGAAAGGAGGAAATAGGAAGGGAAATGCACCTTCCCAAAGAGTGACCAACCCTTTATAGGCCACATGTCCTAACATCCCACCCAGCTACTGTGACATTATAGGATAAATAAACCGATGAGGATGGCACATCTGTGATATGATCACATTTCAAAATTCCTGACTCTCAATGCTTGATTATCTTGAGGGACACAACAGATCCGAACCATAACACATGTTATATTTTAAATGTCAGCAATAGTAATGACTTTCTAGTTTACAGATGTGGTTTTCAATAATGGCTCAAAATATACTAATGTAGTCTAACTCTACAAAATAATTAGTTATTGTACACAGCAGGTATAATTCTTTTCAAAATCAGGAGATATTTGCCTACAAATTAACATTTCATTTGAATTTTTCCCCAGTACCCTGGTATTTATCTAATGTATTTGTTTATGAATGCAGATTTCCAATGTATTAAAATTGCCTCTATTCTAAAAGAGATTTGGTTCCACTTGGGAAGTGCCAGTTGACACCATACAATGAAATAAAACACAGATAGAAAAAGTGAGGATTCAAAATACAAATGTTGAGAAAAATGGAGAAATTTTAGGAAAGCTGATGGAAATTCCAACTTTGTTGATTCCAGGAGGGATGGAAAGGCTGTCAGCAGAAGTAAAATCAGCGGAATTTCATATGCTAGTCCCCTCTCAAGCCTAGCAAACCACAGTTGGAGATATAGTACAATCTTGAAACTGATATACTGTTTAATATACTGAGCTTAACACAAAGCAGGGTTTCTTGTTGAGATTCTTACAAATTCTGAAACTGCAGGACTCTGTTTCCTAAAAGAAGCAATGGGATTATTTAAAAGATAGAAATTTTATCCACTTCAAGCTGATGAGAAAGAAGAGTTCAGAGTTTGCTAAGAAAATACTTCCTTAACTGAAAAGGGAGTATCTCCTATAGTGCGGCTCCAGAACAGGTAGACAGATCCTTATGATGAGCCTTATTTCATGTTAGTCTTTACTTGAATTATGGCAGTCAGCTGCCTGCCTGGCCTGCCTCCCTCCCTCTTCCCCCCCCTTTCTCCCTCCCTACTTCCTTCCTTCCTTCCTTTCTTCCTTCCTTCCTTCCTTTCTTCCACCTTCCATCCTTCCTCTTTCTCCCTCTCCCCCTTTCCTTCTGTTGTACTCTGTCTTTCATTCTCTTACCCTCTTTCATTCTTTCTTTTCTTTAGATATAGCTTGTTATTCTGCCCAGGATTGTCTAAAACTTCTGAGCACAGATGATAAATTCAGCCTCAAGAGTACCTAAAGAACAAGCAATGGTTACTACAACCAGCTTAGAAAATCAGACAGGTTTCTGAAGCAGATAAGCAATGCTAAAAATCTCTGGTGAAACCAAATATTACTTTGGATCCTTCAAATTTTAATGAAAAATGTAGAGAATATGAAGCTCTATGAAAATTTCAAAAAGCAGCAGCATAAGAAAGCCAACAAAAGAGAACAACATATTGGCATTTGCATACAAGAAATTTCAGAATCAACATAATTAATAAATACAGATAATGAAATTTGCAAAATAAATATTTAAATGAAAGAAATTCATCATAAAATCAAATTTAAATTCTAGTTTTCCAAAAAGTGAATAATATAATGGATTCAATAAACATAGTTATTAATCTAGAACCTGCATTGATAATATTTAATGAACTGAAACAAAATCAGAAAAATTAAAAGATAAAATAGCAAAGAAAATATAAACTATGAGTCAGATCTCACGGAAGGACTGAACATTCATGTAAGTAAAGTTCAACAGAGTAGGGAAATGGCAAAACTATTTTTGAGTAGAAAAATAATGTATTTTTTTCAACATAAATGAAAGAAATCTATCCACAAATTCTAAAAGCTATTCACTGCCAAGAGGCACAATGCCAATATAAATCCCATGTAAATATAACTCAGAAGCTGAAAATTAAGTACAAAGGCAAAATCTTAACTGAGCTTGATAAAATAAATATGTTCTCTACCCAAACAGTGAGACTGACAGTAAAACTCCTCCAGAGAAGAAAAGAGAGTGAAAGAAATAGAATGATGTCTAGATGAGAGACTATGAATAATCATCATTCTAGAGTTTTACAAAATCCTAATAATAAAATAAAGTAAAATCTTGTGTTTTCTTAGGTGTAAAGAACATAAAACTTAAAAGGCAAATAATAACAAATTCATTTCTTTGGTTATTTTCATTAATGATAAACTCCTTTAGAAGGACAGAAAGTGAATGATGTGAAAACACAGACATGCAAAAATGCTGAAATAAAAATAATTATGAATTAGTACATTTGACCATGATAATCCCTCTTGAGGTTTTAATATGGAAAGTAAGGTACATGACAAGAGTGCAAAATTCTGTGCACAAAAATACAAAGTTCTATGGCCCTAAGCTTACTAGGTGGAAAAAAATGGATAAAGTATAATTGCAACAGATATGTCACTGAAATTGAAAATATTAGAGAATACGAAAGGTAAGTGATAGCGGACCAACTGGAGACAAAAGTTCAGAGTGGGGTAAGCGGTGTGTCTCCACCGGCCCAGTAGCAATGGTTTTAGGTGTGTACTCAAGCAGTGAGAGTGGTCTAATAGAACAGTGGGGGGTAAGGCCCGCAGTACTGTGCAAGAACATAAAGCCAATACTTAGAGTTTTAGAGACCTTATTGTCTGAGGCTGAACACTCAATTCTGTCATTGTGGTGTCAAAGCCCCAGACCTTGAGTAAACAAATGGATGTAAATGTTTTCCATAAAATATTATTTCCCTAAGCAAATAATAGGCAGGAATTCATGTAACCCTCAGTTAGGATACAATACAACAGGAATTATTCTTTCCCCCGCCATTTAGTGGAGGACTGTGTGATCTTTCCTCTTTGAGTATGGTTCCCAGTGTCACCTGTTCTGAGCTCACTACGAACAGAGGGTTTTTAAGTGCCCCAGCTTTGGGGGTTGGGATTGGCCATGTTCAAGGTTAACACTGATATAAAAAAAGGATTGAGGATGCAGTGTTTCACTATTACATTTACATGATGTGTTTCACAATTACATTTACAGTATGTTTATATGGAGTGATGGAGTGAACAAGACCACCGTAGAACATACAGTTTGTATCCATAAAACGCCACTTATTTCTGGAAAGTTTGAAAACACACGCTTAAGGAATAGATTCATACTAGATTTCCACTATAGAGACATGAGAGTAACTAGCTATGAAGTTAACAACAATGGCTGTCAGTAAGTGGCTCATTTGTCCTGAGCAAGAGTCCAGAAATTTGTTGCTACTGATGTCACATTTTTAGAAGGACAGGGCAAGATGAGAGAAGGGGGAAGAAAGAGAGAGAGAGAAGAAGGAAAGGAAGTAAGACAAAATTATTCACTGTCGAGGAATGGATAAAATAGACAAAACTCTGTGTGTCCTATTTTCAGGTTTGTTTTTTTTTGTTGTTTTGTTTTGTTTTCCAGTACTGGGAATCGAACTCACGACCTTGCGCTTACCAGGCAGGCGCTGTGCTGCTGAGCTAAATCCCCAGCCCCATGTGCATCCTATTTTCATACTTTGCAAAATAACATGTGCTCAAGTCATATACACAAAATTAACTAAATATACAATGAACTGGAGCCATAAAAATACAAGAAGAGTTTGATTTAAAAGACCTATAATTAGATCACGAATTCCTAATATTCGAGCAAAACTGTCTCACTTATGAGGGCCTGTTTTTGCAATAAATAAAGATAAGGATGACGTGGTCCAAAGCGCATTAGTGGGATAATATGAATGACTCTGCCCTGCCTGTGGTTTCCCCACCCTCCACCAACAGGTATAAAGGGCTCTTGTCAGACAGTGACATCTAGACACAACACACCTACTTCTGAATCCTCAGCTAAACAGTTCACGCCTGACACCATGTGCTACTACGGCAACTACTACGGTGGCCTAGGCTGTGGCTATGGCTGTGGCTATGGCTATGGTGGCTATGGTGGCTATGGAGGCTATGGTGGCTATGGAGGCTATGGTGGCTATGGGGGCTATGGTGGCTATGGTGGCTATGGTTATGGCTGTTGCCGCCCACTGTGTTGTAGAAGGTACTGGACCTGTGGCTTCTACTGAGGAATTTCCACAGATTCTTATCTTCCTGTTTTACCAAAATTAC